CCACAAACGACAACCAAGTCGTCATGTCAGTGTGGCTAGGGGTTACAAGAAGAGAAAAAGGGAAAAAAATACCAAATGATTTTTATTTAAACATCAACACCGGAGCAATGCTGTAACAAAAGGTCAAAGCGCCCATTCCAGCAGGGGGAGAATGGAAATCCTGGGAATATAAACAGATGTTCCATTAGCCATTCGAATGAGAAGATTTAGGTTGGAATTGCTAACGAACTTTGTAATAGATGAAAATGATTTTCGATTTTATTGATTATTATGAGCGAGAACCAATCCCGATGGACCTGGAAAAGGGCTTTCGTAAATGTTTGCAATATTATTGTAATAAATCTTGCGATATTTGAACATTGAACATCAGAATTTTGATGGAGAAAATCATAAACGAAACGATCGCTTATCAAGTGATTTAATATCCACTAATGATTTTTATTTTTTCGGAAGTAAATTTAATGTTATCGTAAAGGGAATCAATGCAAAAAATATAAATTAATTAAAATAACGTTTTATGGAAGTACTAAAAAGGAATAAAAATTACATAAATTGGAATGATTCGAATATTTTAAGGTCAGATTATGGAAAAGGCCCCATTCATGAAATCGAAAATTGAAAAAAACTTTTTAAAAGATATGCCTTTGTTGTGAATAAAATTATGATTTTTGATGGCATAACACACTGGGTTTGAATCTCTTTTAAATGTTTGTATGAAGTTCCGGACCAATAATCGTGATTTTTTTTAAAAATAATTTTGAGGACTTCTTTATTACGAATGTTGGATTTTTGTATATTTTGCAACGATTTCTGGTAATAATCCTGCAGTTTCGAACACAGTACTAAGAGCATTTTGGCCAAAAATCGTATTTCTTTTAATATTTTTCCAGGGCTTCCTGATCAGAAATTGTGGTTATTTTTGTGGTTTTCTCGGATGAGATTCATATTTTTATACCCTACAGCACATAGTGGTAAGGTTATTATGTTTTTGTGCGTTTGTTTGTAACATGGAGAAGGAAGCTAGATAGACCCATAGTTACTTTTGAGGATCTTCATAGAATCACTTTCTGAGTCGATTTATGCATGTCAGTCCGTCTGTCCATGTTTTTTTTTTCCTTTGAACAAAAAGCAGTTATCATTTATTATTCGATTGAGATGAAATATTCCAAACTATATTTGTATGGCCCAAGGACGAACCCCATATATATATCTCCAACCGATTTGGGGGTAATTGTACATATTGCCAATATCAGTCCAAATGACCTGAATTTTGGCACATCCGACCAATTTCAGTCCAGAAGCAAGTACATCAAATTTGGGGAAATTTGGTTCAGATATAGCTTTAGCTGTCTCATCCGGTTTGGGGGTTCAGATCCCTCACATGCGTAACTTATTGAGATCAAAAATACCTCTATCAAATTTTATCGAGATCTGATCAGAATAGGATTAGCTCCTTTATCCGATAACAGATTTATTGTGCAATAAATGGCTAATATCGACCCAAATGAATTGAATTTTGGCAATTCCAACTGAATTCATCCTAGAAAGACGTACTGCAAATTTGTTGAAAATTTGTTCAGGTATAGCTATAGCTCCCATATATACAGGGTGAGATGAAAAAACTGCAATCAACTTCAGACTGATGTCACTTCTAAACCACTCGTCCGACAGCTGTTAAAATTATTCCAGCAGTTTAATGAGAATTTATGCAAAAGTATTTTAATGAGATTTTCCAGAAAAAAAGTTATTCGTGATGGAATTCAAGCGCGATAGTGTGATTTCTTCATATTTGGCTGGAAAACCACAAGTGGCTATCGTTAGAGCACTCCAGCATTTAAATGAGAATAAATCTTCTGCGTCTCGTACCATCGCTCGTTTCCATGATACTGGTAGCGTCAAGAAAGTGGACGGAAGAAAACAGCAACTTCAGCAGAAATGGTTCAAAAAGTAAAGAAGCGACTTTATCGAAACCCGCGTCGCAGTGGCCGAAAAATGACTCGGGAGCTGAACACATCGCAATATTCCATTCGGCAAATATTGAAAAATGAGTTCAGGGTAAAGCCAAGAACTTACAAGAACTTACACCGCAACAGGAAGAAAATAGACTCAAAAGAGCTAAGGAGTTGCTTCGCTTGGCCGAAGGTGGTAAACTGCCGTGGCATCAGAGTAAATGCCGAATATTGTCGATTGTGGCATCAGAATAAATGCCGAATATTATCGCAAAAATATTTTGGAGGGTGTATAAAAGCCTTGGGCATGCAAACATTGGACATTCCAACAGGACTCAGCACCATCGCACTCAGCACGCGCCACTCAAGAATGGTTGCAAAATGAGGTTCCTCGCTTCATTTCCAGCGCACAATGGCCACCGAAATCTCCGGATACCAATCCGTATGACTATTTTGTCTGGAGTATTTTGGAAAGCAAGGTTGGCACTAAAAAATATCAAAGTGTCGATCACCTCAAGCAAACGCTTCGCCGGGAATTGGACAAAATACCGCTGAGCAACATTCGGGCAGTGTGAGACGATTTCATTGGCCGTTTGAAGGTTATAATTCGTGCCAATGGTGACCAATTCGAACAAATCTAAACTTATTCTAAAATTTGATGCTATTACCGACCATTTTTGCTTTAATTCAATAGAATTTAAAAAAAAATAAAAATTATAGCGTTTGACTTAGTTGCAGTTAATTTATTTCACCCTGAACAAAATATTTTGTACATTGTCTTCCGGAACAAAATTTTCTGAGTTTTTTTTAAGTTTTAAAAATCTTAGATATTTTTTGGTTTTGTGACCAAGGCCCGGATATTTCTTTCTATTACAATTTATGAGTTTTGTATGAATATTTTTTCAGGAACTTCTTAGTAGAAACAAATGAGAATTTTATATAAAAAATTCTGCAAAACACTGAGGCTGAGGTTTTGTATGTGTGGTTATACTGACTCATGGATTCATTTAAATAGTCCTAATCTATGTAATAAAATAACATTTTCCAACTGCGTTTGGATCTTGCGTCTGGCCTGTCCATTCACAGAAGATAAGAATGTTGGGAAATACAAACTTAAAAATTAAAAAAAGAATTATAAAAATCGTTTATTAGTAGGACTTTCGAAAAAGGTTCGTGAATTTTTTGTTCAAGAATTTTTAGTGCCTATTTTAAAAGTATTTCCATCTAATTTCGGGATTGCTATGATATATATGTCAAGAATATTGGAATCTTTGATTTCTAGCATGAAAACCAATAATAGCTAGTTACAGGGACTTACGAAGCTTGGAGGCCATGACTCTCTTCTTCATGGCAAATCTCCAGTGATTTATTTTATTATATATTTTACATCGGAAAGTTAATTCTGTGTCCAAATAGTTTCGAAATGTCTTTCTATATATATACGCCGCTACCTTTTTATAATTACCAAAACAATATCGATTATCAATTTTTTGAAATTATCAAATCCGATGAATAAAAGAGGAAGATTTAAATGAGAAACTGCATTAATTGTTTTTATGTTGTTTATATATCGCTATAGCTATTGGAAGTAGTAGCTCAGCAATTTTGGCTGTTCCTCAAATGTATGCCATTACAGATAAATACATTTTCTATCATGCCAGCAATTATAGCCTAATTTTGAATTAATTGTAAAATATGATCAGTTGGCAGGTATTAATTGCAAAATTTTTAAGGGGGTATTTTTTATAAAAGTATATTTTTTTTGCACTTTATGTTAATATATTTATTATTTTACCTTGTTAAACTATATGTACCTACAAGTAACACCTAATTTGAAAATTTGTATAAAATATGACCACTTAATACCCAAGCCCATTATATCACACACGTGTAAAAAAATTAAATAGAAGAAATTTGTATTTGTGTTTTAAAAAATTTCGCAAACATTTTTAAATGAAATAAATAACGAAATAAAATGTAAAATTAATTTCCTACGTATAAAAATCGTTTTTCATTAAAAGTGATTAGAAATTTTTCACAACAACAACTACAAAACAATCCTTAGAAATTAACAAAAAAAAAACAAAACTGATTAAATAAATTTGAACACATTTCGGCGTTTATTTTTAATTAATATAGAAATTTATCAGCCATAAATTAAAGTTGTTAATTGTCAAGTCATTAATTATTAATTTCATGTAGCTGGGCTACGTACCCGCCAACAAAAAATAATAAAACAAATAGCTGCAAGTTTAACCAATAATCAAATTGTAAATAATTGATGTTGTGATCATGCGTAAACACGCCCTCTTTTCAAAGCAGCATTTCCCCAAAAGATCCCCAATCGAAAACAAAAAATCTGTGTTGTTGTATTATCAAATGGGTGGGAGTGTTTATGTTCCATTCACATTAACCAAAAAAAAAGGAAGGAAACCAGTTTCCGTTAATCAAGTTTGTGTGGTTATGTGTTAACAAACCACCATTGTGAAAAACCCCTCAAAGTAATTATAAAGAAACAACAACAATGAACTGTTAACAAACTTCATATTTAAAAATTATCAAACAAAAGAGGGGAAATTGAAAAGAGATAAAGGTTACTCATTCCATATGCCTACTCTTTCTCGCGTGTGTGTTAGAACTCACCATAATTCCAATTGGATTTAAAGAGCCCAGTTTCTCATAACTCTCTTTCTAGCGTATGCATTGCTCCCCTTCAAAGCAGCCATTTATATTTCTCTGAGCCACATGCCTTCTCTTTCTCTCCGTAAGGTTTGATACTCACCTCAGATTCTCAAACTCACCATTAACAAAATTGTACCGTTTACCATTTATGTATATTGGCGCTCTTTACTCTTGTTTCATGTGAGTAGTAAATTTACATTTTTGAGTATCTCTAACTCTCTCTTTCTCCCTCCCATTGGTGGCGTTTCAATTTGTTTTGTTTTTGTGAGTTAACATGCTGCAACACCTCGGTATGTGGCATACGATTCCCTGTGGTACACACAGCGCTAACACACCGGGTTTTTGTTGTTTCATCGTCGTCATTCGCGTTGTGGCTCGCTCGTTTGTTTGTAGTCACCTCTCGTCGTCGTCATTATTTGTTGCCGTCGTCATCTTTGCTAGCTGGCGTTATTAACAGCGGCCAAACAGGCAGGCAGGCAGTCAGTCAGCCCAGCAAGTAAAACCAATAACAACAACAAAACACACACCACCACCACCATTGGCCTACCAACCACAGCAGCCTTACGGCAACACACAGCCATATAGCGCAGCAACAACCACCACCACCACCACCAACCATCCAACCGACCCAGGCAGGGGTCGTTATACACAACATTCTGACTGTGTTCACATCGTTGTTGAGTAAAATATTTCAGGAGTCAGTTCAGTCCTGCTGCGCATCTTGTAACGTTAAGTTTAGTCGAGAGTTGTGCCGATGATCACCGCTTGCCCATGCATGCTGTGGTTCTCTGTTACGCGTTAACAAATTTTTATGAAATTTCACTCCATCGAATGAATTCAATAAACAAAACAAAATACATTTTTCCCAAAACCATGGATTTAAGTGAATAACGAAAAAACAAAATATTAACGGAATTATTATTAGCAAAAAACAAACGAAGGCCATTGATAACGGATTACCCTAAAACACAAGTGTTTGTAAACAAAAATATTGAATTAAAACAAGAAAATATTGAAAAAAATTCCAAGTGAAAAATATGATAAAAATAGTATAAAACCGAAAACAAATTGTGAAATTCAAAAATTTTTAATAAAAGAATTGAAAATAAGTTGTGTAAAATTTTGTGAAAATCTAAAGAAATCTCCGAAATACTTTAAGAATTTTGAAAACAAAGAAAAAACAAACTCCCCCAAAATGATGATGAACGCTTTCATTGACCCCACGACCACCAGCCAACATCATTTGGCCACCTACGGCATTCGCATGTCACCCACCAACTCCACCCAACAACAACAAACAGATCTGGCCGCCCATCAACAGTTGCAACAGCAGCAACAACAACAGCAGCAATCGCCCCAAGATGATCCCCAACAGCAATTGGATACCAGCGGCCTAATGTCGTCAGCCATGTCTTCGGGCATTTCCAGTGACATGTCATCACCCACTTCAGCCTATCAAAACAGCGGCTATGGACCGTTCAACACCCAACTGGGTTCATATTCTTCACGGGACTTTTTGCTGGGCCGTCGCAGCGAACAGGATTACATGTCCGGCACAGCCTCAGCCCAGGCTGTGGGCCAAGGTGCCAGTGCCGCCGATTCCATGCTGTTTCCCACCTTTCCTGCCTCACATGCCAATCATCCGGATTTGACCGGTTCCTTTGGCCAGCATCCCTTCCACTCACATCATCATGCGGCCCATCATCATCACTCGCATCAAATGCGCATGGGCATGGCCGACTATGCCACCCATCCCTATGCCCATGCGCAACATCATGCCAATTTTCCGTCGGTACATGCAGCCCATCATGCCCAACACATGGGTATGCATCCCGCCGGAGCGGGAGCCTTTCTGCGCTACATGCGCCACCAGCCACCCACCTCCGCCTCGGCCATTAAACAGGAAATGCAATGTCTGTGGATAGATCCCGACCAACCGGGCCAGCCCAACAATCGCAAGACCTGCAACAAGATTTTCCACTCGATGCATGAAATTGTCACACACTTGACGGTGGAGCATGTAGGCGGACCCGAGTGTACCACCCATATTTGTTACTGGATTGGCTGTTCGCGCAACGGGCGCCCCTTCAAGGCCAAATACAAATTGGTCAATCACATTCGGGTGCACACCGGCGAAAAGCCCTTTGCCTGCCCACATCCCGGATGCGGAAAAGTCTTTGCACGCAGTGAAAATCTCAAGATCCACAAGAGAACGCATACAGGTAAGTTTTGCTTTATTATTATTGTTTATTATCATAAAACGGATATTGAAATCCGGGGATTTTCCCGGGATCATCGCGGAAAACAAGACATTTAAGCTGTAGGCGTTTGCACTGACTTCTGGCAGGATTTTCCTCTACTTTTGTAGTTGTTGTTGTCAAGTCATAAAGTTATGACCACCTTGCATTTGGTGTTGCAAATGTTGGCCTGCTACCTGTTTCGATTTGATTGCAAAGGCGAATTTCTTTAATCTCTGTGAGGATTTAGAAATCTCCTCAAAAGAGATTAGCCAAGTTCACGCCTAAAAGAAATGTTTGTTTGTTTTCTATTGGCAGACTTGTTCTCTTAACTCTTGGCGGATTTTGTCAAGTCTTTAGAAAAATTCTGGTTTAGAGGAAAGTTAATCTTTGGAAAAAAGAAAAGAAAGGATTTTCCTCTCTTTTTTCGAAAAGTCAAATATGCTGAGAATGTTAGAGTGCCGAAGAGGATTAGGGAAGGAGTGAGAATATCCAGGGATTCATTTGCACTTTACATGGAATTAGTTTTCAATAGTTAGTCATTTCATTGTTTCTTTATTTTATTGAAATTTTAAAAGATTGTTCTAAAAAAAATTATGGAGTCACCCATATGATCTCGTTTTACAAAATATCAGCCTTCACATCTTAATTACAAGTTACTGGCAATAATTTTTAAACATTCCAAAATTAAACAGCTGTTGTTCGCATGCAATAAAATCCAGATTTTATTAATAACAATAATGACGAAATGTCTGAAATCTGAAAACGAAAATACATTTTGAAAAATTCCATAAATTTTGGAATTTAATAAACAAAATTAAAATTAAATTTTATACTTTAGTTGCCTTGACAACAATGGTCATTGTTTCATCTTTCATTTATTGACCCAGACCTGACAACAGAAAAAAAAAATCAATTTGGAGTCCAAATCCCCCTTTGACCTTTAATGCCCCCTTCCATGTTATTCGATTGCCTATATTTCAATATTTTATGGTGTCACGTCTCTCTCTCACATCCAAGTACTCTTTGTCGATATTTTTTTCACATTACACCAAATGTTGACGGAAGTTTTGACACGTGTCAAATCAGCATGAAAGTGTCAAAGAGATGTGTGGTAAAATGTTCAAGTGGTTGGTTGGTTAGCTGCAACAGAGGCCTTACAAAACACTTCGCACTTGGAATGTTGTAAAATATTTATTATAAAACAAATCAATAAACATTTTTGTAAAGGACTTGAGTTAGTGGGTGGAGAATAGCGAAATATTTGGATTTTTTGGGTGGAAGATAAGTGAAAAGGGTATTTTCACCAAAAATCCAAAAAAAGAGAAGTTTTCAACACAAAACGAAAAAAGAGACGTTTTTTTCAACTCAAAAAAATATTGAACGACTTTTTCTTGTTTAATTTAAAACTAAAAATCTCCATTTCAAAAGATTTCCAATTCAAAATAATTTATTTGTGAATTTTTTTCCCATTCAGAATAAAAATATACAGTAATGATTAAAATAACAAAAAAATTATAGGTGTCCATTGAAACCTAAAATTCCTATAAATATTTGCAAAAAAATAAATTTATATTTTCCAAATCCAAATCATCTTGGTTTTAATATTAACAAAATTATAAGAAATAGTAAAGAAACCGACATTTTTCTGAAAGGATTTTTTTATTATTTCTTAAATTTTGAGCTCTTTATATAATTTGTAATTATTTTATATTTGTTGCATTAAAACCCAAAATTCCTATAAATTTTTCCCATAAGGGATATTTTTATTTTAAATACTTTTTCAATATTTTGTTTTAGAAAAAAAATAAATAAATAAATAAAAAATTTATAAAACAAGTAAAAAAGCTTCTACATAAACAAATAAGAACTTTTTAAAAAAAATATAAATCCTAGCATTTATTTAATAAAAAAAAATGAAATTGTTTCCTTTAAATCTGAAACTTCGCCATTAAATTTTTTTGGAAATCTATTCTTTTCTTTAACTTTTAACTTTAAATTATTGTTTTTTTTCATCGACTTCTTGCCATAAATGTAAAAAGAAATTAATTGAGAAGATTCCAATTATTCCAAGCCATTTCTTAACAAATTTTTAGTTAATGCTTTGAATTAAAAATTTCCATTTAATTTGGAATATTTTTTCGTTTTTTATTGAAAACTATATCCTATAAAGAAACCTAAAATTATGATTTAGAATTTATTTAAAAAAAAAATCGTAAAAAAATATTTTCCAATTTAAAAATTCTATACAAAGTTTTATAAATGTCATAAAAAATCCCATAATTAAAATCTCCTTATGAAGAGAATTATATTTGTTAACACATTTCGTTATTTTTTCCTGTTTTTTATTTTTATTTTTTGATATTCCCATTTCTTTCCCTTACACATTTCTTAATTAACTTGTATTTCTTTACATTTGTTTAAAACAGAACTTGATTATCTTCTAATTACTTAAAAAAAAAATCATTGACTTATTCATATTTATATTTTTTTTTGCTGCGTAATCCTTCTCCTCCAACTCCTGTACCAACGTCAACGTCAATCATAAATATCAGTTTTTCTTGATTAGCTCTATAATACTTGTTAATATTATTTTCCAATACAAGTGGTCTTTGTAAATGATCTTCCCAATTTTTTTTCATTTTTTTTTCTACTCAAAATTAATCCATCATCATGTCTTAAAATGTTGTATTTATATTTGCCGACGCCGCCATCAATTCTAAAGATGTTGTTGTTTTTGTTGTTTTTTTTTTCATCCATATGTATGTTAACATTTTAATTACTTTCCAATGATATGCAATTTTTGAATGAATATTTTTTTTCGATTTCGGTTAGGGGGATACACCCAGTTTTGAATTTTGAGATTTTTGTGAACAATATTGGCAGGTAACAAAAATGTAAAAAAAAAATGAATTCAATGATATGGATGCAAGTGGGAGCTGGTTTAAAGTTGAAAAACAGAATGCCTTCTTTATAACTCTTTTTGAACTACTTCAAAAAGAAGCAGTGAAAGCATCACTTCAATGCGAATGGGACCAATTTTGTTTGGCTGGATAATAGTGGCAATTTTTCCATCTTTGTCAAATTTGTTATCTTGGCAACTCTGGGATTATTATTGAGTTTTAATTCAGATAAATCAGAGTATCGGTTCCCATATAAAAATAATTTTTGGGCTTATTTTAATTATATTTTTGCTAAAAAATTATTAAATTAATTAAAATTTAAAACAGGAAAGTTATTTCAATATTCTCTTAAGAATATCTCTTTCATTATTTTGCCCAGCTATGCTATATTGGACTTTCACAAAAGATCAGAGCATTGCCAAGAGAAATGAGAGATAATATCTAAGGCAATTACTGGGTGATAAGTGAATCACTGATAGTGATACAGCCAAGAATTTTTAAAAAGTGGCACAAAAATAAGTTTTCTTGAGAGCCATTTCTCTGTCTCATCATCTAATAAATTAAGAGCTGATAACATGGCCAGATTTTTTTATGGTTACACAAAAAGTCCCATATCGTCAAAAAATGGTTACAAATTTCGTCTTAAATCGTACAACGGTAACCCTGCTGAGAATGAAAATAAGCTCTCCACAAGAGAATTCGTAAATAAGGGCCAGTTATGCAGTTAGTTTTCGTTCTCTTCATCAAAAGTTAAATTGCTATCATCAGAAATCAGTTAGAAATGGATCAATCGGTTCCCCTTCCCTGATCATTAAGAGAATATATATAAAAAATGTGTTCAGATTTAATGTCAAACTCCAATGCATCGTTTTTATAAATATTAAATATGCCGTAGAATTTATAACAAATGTGTTAAATATTTATTTAATTTTCTTGCAACTTCTCAAATTCCCTTTAAGTTCCATCGGACATTTTCCAATATTCAACATTTCTCCTTGCCAGCCTAACAAGTGAAGTGCCAAAAAATTTATAGCTGAACACAGGCGAACAAAAAAAAAATTCAACTGTCACTTGCAGTGGTAGTAGCAACGGAGTATTGGTGTTTTGTTGAGAGTGTCGAGTCGAATTGTCGTAATAAGAACAACAACACCACCAACAACAACGATAACAGCAACAACCCAGTCGACGCCGTTTTGGTAAGCCATGATTGCAGATTATGTCCTTGCCTCCCTGTTTTTCCAAATGAAAACATATATGTGACGCCATATTTGTTTTGCTTGCTTGTCAGAAAGGCTTTTTCTCTGCAAAAAAGGAAAAACATACACACAAACACATACACAACTGCATGGTATGGACATACATGTATGTTCCATACAATGGTCATACATGTGAGAAAAACAGGGTTTGGTTCCGGTTTCATAGACACACACACGTTCTCTCCATACAGGAACTTGAAAGGACATGGACGACAACATATCCTGTAGTTGTTGCTGTTATTTGTTGTTGTTGAACACAGTCAATTCAAGGTGTCTCTGCCGAAACAATTATTATCAACCTGAAAACCCCAAATACTTACACTCCCATCACCATGCTACAAATATTTCCATGTAGGCTTTTGGATCGGAAAAATTTTACCAGAACACACACACACAAATTCAATTGTTTGCAAAGTTTGCATTTAATAAACACTTAACAATAAATATAAAGGATATTGAGAGGACACAAAAGGCCAGTGGTATAAAATGCACAAAAAAGCGAAAACGGCAGTATTTAAATGCCATACAATGGTTAATGGCTTGCAGTGTGTAATGGAATTGAAAGGCAGGAGCGTAGAGAGAAATGCAAAAGGTTTTTAAAAGGATATAAAGAAAGGATTGATTATTTCGGTATCTGAACTTCACACTTTGTCACAAATCACTTGCAGTTGTCTTTATTGGTTTTCTATTATAAATTCGAATATAGGTTCGGGTCCTGCCATATGTGGTATCTGTAGCAGGACCCGAACCTAATATCTAGCATTTCGAAACGATTGAATATTTTGAAACTCGAACCTGATTATTATTATCTATTTTGCTTTCAATT